GGAACCCACAAGTAGACATCTGGATGAGCCTAGGGATAGGTAAGCTGGAGGGTAAATTAAAGACAATCTTTTTCCATGGAACCGGTTTTAATACTTTGCTCAGTTTGAATTGCCATGTTTTATTCCAGTGTAGATTTCATGTAACCAGTTCACATAGACCATTCCGCTAACAGCCAAAGGTGATACTTTATTCAACCCCCATACTAGTGACTGGGGCAACCTCCTTTTATTCCACCAAGTAAATGAATACTGTACGTGTCCATGTTAAACAGGTTCATCATAAATCTCAGATGAATGCCCGTCCTAACCATAATTCACTAGTAATAAAACTGCTCTTAAGAGGGGCTGATAAACCATTAAACATGTTGCTGGAACAAGGTCACTTTTTTGCTATCGATTGATTCCGCAGCCAGTTACACATGACACTGACGGGAGATAAATTCACTGCACTGGTGATTGATCTTTTAACCGTGTGTGTTCCATCTCCATTTCACAATCATGTACAGACATCGATTTCCTAAAAAAGAACCAAAGGAACTTTTTTTTTTTTCATTTCAGGAAAGGTGTTCTAATCCACGTTTATGTAATTTTGCATTGTGTTGCATTGAATTGCATTAGGTTAGTATTGTTCTGTAGTATCCTGACATCTAGCAGTGGTTTTGGGCCACTGAAACGTAATATATATATATTAGTATCTTCTTCTACCCTCCCTCCTCTTTGGTACTAGTGGACTGACAAATCATGGGGCCCCCGGGCAACAGGGGATCATGGGGCCCGTGTCCTTGCCCAAACTCAAAAAAGCCTATGAAAAAGGTACCGGGGCATCTCATGGGGCCCCCTACCAGGGGCGGACTGACAACTCATGGGGCCCCCAGGCAATAGGGGATCATGGGGCCCCTGTGTCCTTGCCCAAACTCAAAAAAGCCTATGAAAAAGGTACCAGGGGCATCTCATGGGGCCCCCTACCAGGGGCGGACTGACAACTCATGGAGCCCCCGGGCAATAGGGGATCATGGGGCCCTTGTGTCTTTGCCTAAAACTCAAAAAAGCCTATGAAAAAGGTACCAGGGCATCTCATGGGGCCCCCTACCGACCCCGGGCCCTGGGGCAGTGCCCGAGTTTCCAAATGGTCAGTCCGCCCCTGCCCCCTACTGACCCCGGACCCTCGGGCAGTGCACGAGTTTCCAAATGGTCAGTCCGCCCCTGGGTACTAGTTAGTTAAGTCGGGCCTAGACCCTCTCTGTTTCTTCCTTGTTCCCTCAGGCAGTACTAGTACTAAGCAAAGGCTTTGGAAAGTCATTGTCTTCTTAGGCTCCATGTACGCTGCAGCTGATAAACTGACGTTTAGGCACTTTTCTGCGTTGTTTTCAGCAGCCCCTGAACTCTCCCTAATGTTTTCCTATGTGTCCGTGTACACATTGTCGTTTACAGGCATTTGAGTTTACAGTCTTTTTTTGACTGAGCCAAACTTGTTTTCAGGAGTAGATTTTATCAACGTTTCAAACTCCAAACGCTTGTAAACGCAGCTAAACGCGTTTATAAGCATTTTCATTTGGAAAAATGTTTACTCTTCCATTTCCAGATGCTGTCCAGAGCTTTTTTTCATCATGAAAAATGCATGCAAAGCTTTTTCCTGTTACTCAAATGGACCTGGTACACCATACTTTGAGGTTTCGCATGAAAGAAAATATGTTAGACACTGCTGCAATAATTTCTGCACAGAAATGAGCCGGAACACATCCAAATACCACAAAACAAAAAAAGACAGCTAATCTCAACAAATACTGCTCTCTCTGCTTCTGCTCGCTCTATTTCTCTCAAAATGTCTGAAATAGTTAATTTTTTACTGTTTTTCAGTGCATTCTGGGCATTTTGGAAGGTCTCCTGAGGTTATCTTTAAAAAAAGGCTTCTAAACGCAAATGCGCATAGATGCGGTATGCAAACGCAGCTAAACAGACATTTTTTAACCTACGTTTTCCAGCAGTTTCCGTTGTTCAGATGTGTCCCGTGTACATGGAACCTTATACTTCCACAGATTGGAAAAAAGCATCCTCTGTACTGCAATTAACTGAGTTGAAATTGTGTTGGATTCAACTTCAGTGTCTTATTGAGGAGTTAAGCTGCCTGTGGATTGTGCCAAGCCAGCAGGTGACCATACTGTCTGGAAAGACTGTGTCAAAGGAGGTATGTCAATGCATAAAATGGCATTGAAGCAGAACATAGGGCTAACCATGTCAGTTTTTTGCTATTTGGGTTCCATTGGGGTGATTTCCTTTCTCTTCCTGTCCCATAGACAAAACAGGACAAAACAGGACGTGAGAGGACTGGTGGTCCCCATTGGAAGATTTCTCCTCTATTCTTGTCCTAGTGACAAAGCTAAATTGGGATTTATTTTCACTTTCATTCTCAGTGATAACAATAAACATGACAAGGGCGAATCTACCTAATGGGGGCACAAACAGCAATAAAAACCTGACAGGTGTTCTAATCCCTCTCCATTCTATCCAACACTCAAAATAAAAAGGTTTGCCTTTAGTTATACTTCAAGGCTGAACTCCAAATATATACAATGCTGAAAAACATGTAAAGCAGCTATTTTACCCACCAAGGAATTTTTCATTTCTATCCACCAATCCGAAGATTATCATAGCTCTGCCAGACAGCATATCCAGGGGGGTGACTCGACTTTCTCTGTGACAATCAACCCCTTCACGCCTAAGGGTAAAACAAATTAAATGCCTAAGCACAATTTTGCAACTTTGACATGCGTTAGTAAAACCGTCCATATCATCACAACTACTTTGTACATCCAGGTGGATTATACCGCGTTTTTTTTTTTTCAGGACAAATTGGGCTTTCATTTGGTGGTAAATGGTAATGAATATCTCCTGATTTTTTTTTTATTACCAAAGGAAAACTGGCCCAAAATAGTAAAAAAAAATTTTTTTTAAATTTAGTTGTGTGTTTCTTGTTACTACCATACCCTACCACCAAAGAACAACCCAAAATAAATACTCCAGCTCCTGCCGATCGCAGCAATACCATATATGTGTGTTATTTGTTGTCTGTACCCATAGTACAGCCCAGGAAAAATAGTGCGCATTTGGTTTTTGTGGTTTTTTTTTTAACTAAAACACACTGACACTGACATTGACACTAATGCCAATTTTTTTTTTTAAATCCTGACCTTAGACCCTGACCATTTCCCCTTGACCTTTGACCCAAACACTAACCCTGGCAGTCCCGGGTCCCGATCGTTAGATCGGGAGCCGGGGCTCTCAGTGACACCGTGTTCTTTGTGCTGGGAGCGCGCCGCAGGTACGCAAATATGTGGCCCTACAGAAAAAAGCCCAGTTCTGTGAGGCCGCATATTTGTGTGACGTCGGCATCAGGGGGTTAAGGAATAGCATGGTGTTCTACAGGGTGCGGCAACATAACTTCCTTTTTTCAAAACGCAATAAAACCCATTTTATGAATCAAAATTGTTTTTATTGTCTTTAATAATGTAGGTACATATCTAAAGTTCTGTTTTACACAGTTTTGAAAATCATATCAGGTAGGTGACGCCCCCCCCCCCCCCCCATTGTCCATACACTGAATAAGCCAATTTCTGGTGTTTTTCATGACCCTTACCAGCATAGCAGCGGGTATGTTGGCAATTTCTGCGCGGATGTTGGACTTCAGGTCTTGTAGGGTCCTTGGACGGTTTACATAAACGCGGGATTTCAAAAAAAACCCACAAAAAAAAGTCGCAAGGGGCCAAATCGGGGGAGCGGGCTGGCCACTCCAAATCGCCCCTTATTGAGATGAGGTGCCCCGGGAAGTGTTCCCTTAAAACAAAGTCCAAGGGCAGGCGCATGTTTGCGCGCAGAATGCTGCGGGGATTGCAAGATTGAAGCTCTCACTGCTTCGATGTTCTCAGGTGATCTGATGGGTCGAGGGACTCCAGCCCTTCGTCTTGTCGTACTCGCGGTTTGTCTGAAAGTAGTTACCCATGTAACAATTGATTTCCGGTCCGGGACATGGCCCAACGGGGCTACATTGAAGCGATGTCGGAAGGCGTGTTGGGTTGCGATCACAGAAAATCAGTTCAAAAAGTAGGCCTCTACGGCAAACGCATGCTGCTCACTGTTCCAACGCATGATGATGACTGACCTGGAAGAGAACAAAAACTTTAGAACTACGCCTGTCGCCTGAGACCACTCCCGCCCCGCTATGGCCGCTACAGCCTGAATGGCACGCATTTCAGAAAAGGAGTTATGTTGCTGCACCCTGTACAATCATGGCCAATAGTTTTGAGAATGACACAAATATTAATTTTCACAAAGTCTGCTGCCTCCGTTTTTTATGATGGCAATTTGCATATACTCCAAAATGTTATGAAGAATGATCAGATGAGTTGGAATTAATTTCAAAGTCCCTCTGTGCCATGAAAATGAACTTAATCCCCCCCAAAAAAAAATTCCACTGCATTTCAGCCCTGCCACAAAAGGACCAGCTGACATCATGTCAGTGATTCTCTCGTTAACACAGGTGTCAGTGTTGACGAGGACAAGGCTGGAGATCACTCTGTCATGCTGATTGAGTTAGAATAATCTCCCTCTTAGATTGTAAGCTCCAAGGAGCAGGGCCCTCCTATTCCTCTTGTATTGAACTGTATTGTTGCTGTATTGTCTCCCATTATATTGTAAAGCGCTGAGCAAACTGTTGGCGCTATATAAATCCTGTATAATAATAATAATAGACTGGAAGCTTTAATAGGAGGGTGGTGCTTGAAATCATTGTTCTTCCTCTGTTAACCATGGCTACCTGCAAGGAAACATGTGCAGTCATCATTGCTTTGCACAAAAAGGGATTCACAGACAAGGATATTGCTGCTACTAAGATTGCACCAAATTCAACCATTTATCGTATCCAGGAGCGGACTGTCCATTTGGAAACTCGAGCACTGCCCGAGGGCCCGGGTTCAGTAGGGGGCCCCATGAGATGCCCCGGGTACCTTTTTCATAGGCTTTTTTGAGTTTGGGCAAGGACACAGGGGACCCCATGATCCCCTATTGCCCAGGGGCCCCATGAGTTGTCAGTCCGCCCCTGATCGTATCATCAAGAACTTCAAGAAGAGAGGTTCAATTGTTGTGAAGAAGGCTTCAAGGCACCCAAGAAAATCCAGAAAGCGCCAGGACCATCTCTTAAATTTGATTCAGCTGCAGGATCGGGACACCACCAGTGCAGAGCTTGCTTAGGAATGGCAGCAGCTAGGCCAGATGCATCTGCATGCAAAGTGAGGCAAAGATATTTGGAGGATGACCTGGTTTCAAGAAGAGCAGCAAATAAGCCACTTCTCTCCAGGGAAAAACATCAGGGACAGATTGATGTTCTGCAAAAGGTACAGGGATTGGACTGCGGAGGGCTGGGGCAAAGTCATTTTCTCTATTGAATCCCCTTTCTGATTGTTTGGGGCATCTGGAAGAAACCTTGTCCAGAGAAGAAAGGTGAGCACTACCATCAGTCTTGTGTCATGCCAACAGTAAAGCATCCTGAGACCATTCATGTGTGGGGTTTCTTCTCAGCCAAGGGAGTGGGCTCACTCACAATTCTGTCCAAGAACACAACCATGAATGAAGAATGGTCCAAAAACATCCTCCGAGAGCAACTTCTCCCAACCATCCAAGAACAGTTTGGTGAGGAACAATGACTTTTTCAGCATGATGGAGCACCTTGCCATCAGGCAAAATTGATATCTAAGTGGCTTGGGGAACAAAATATAGAAATTTGGGGTCCACAGCCAGTAAACTCCCCAGACCTAAATCCCATTGAGAACTTGTGGTCTATCTTCAAGAGGTGGGTGAACCAAAAACCCCACAAATTCTGCCAAATTCCAAGCATTGATTTGGCAAGAATGGGCTGCCATCAGTCAGGATGTGGCCCAGAAGTTGATTGACAGCATGCCAGGGCGGATTACAGGTCTTGAAAAAGAAGGGTCAACACTGCAAATATTGACTCTGCATAAACCTCATGTCATTGTCAATAAAGCCTTGGACACTTCTGAAATGCTTGTAATTATACTTCACTATAATCATAGTAATCTAACAAAAAGATCTCAAAACACTGAAGCAGCAGACTAGGTGAAAAATAATAGTTGTGTCATTCTCAAAACTTTTGGCCACAGGTGTAGACAATGCAGGAGCAACAGAAGATGGATGAGGTCTTCTCTCTGCTCCAGGGGCGGACTGACAACTCATGGGGCCCCCAGGCAATAGGGTATTATGGGGCCCCCGTGTCCTTGCCCACACCCAAAAAAGCCTATGAAAAAGCCAATGAAAGATACCAGGGGCATCTCATGGGGCCCCCTACTGACCCTGGGCCCTTGGGCAGTGCCCGAGTGGCTAAATGGTCAGTCCGCCCCTGCTCTGCTCTCTTCTTCTATCAATATGCTCCTTGGTGGATTATTTGCATGTCGCTTGCCTGATTGGCTCCCAGTGCAGCCCCTCCCTCTCCTAGTCCAGGAGCCGTTGGTAACCTTTTGCATATGCAGTTCTATGTAGACTCAACCAGGGCTTTTCTTTTTTAGTGGGAACGTGGGGAAATGCAGTTCTGGCACCTCCGGCACCAAAAGTATCTGATGGCAAGGGGTGCTGAGGTGTGCTGGAGGGTCTATTGATGCCGGAAGCTGGAGGGTCTATTGTAACTGGGGGGATCTTTTGTTGCGGAGGAGTCTATTTTTTCTGGGGAGGTCTATGGTTGCTTGGGGAGGGTCTATTGTTGTGAAAATACTTTTGTTGTTGGGGGGTCAATGGTTGCTGGGAGGGACCTACAGTTGAGGGAGGGGCCCATGGTTGCTGGCTGCTGGAGGTTTTATTCAGCTGGCTGCCAGGAAATCTATTGTTGCTGGTAGGGGAGTCTATAGTTTGTGGAGTTGATCAATTTTTGCTGGGGGGCTATATTGTTACAGGGGATCTATTGTTGCAGTGGGGGTAAATGTTGTCGGGGGTCTATTGTTGCTAGTCGGATCTGTTGCTGCCCTGGGGTCTACCGGGGTCTATTGTTGCTGGGGAATTTATTGTTGATGGGGGTCTATTGTTGTTGGGAGACTCATTGCTGCTGGGGGGTCTATTGTTGGGGGATTTATTGTTGATGGGGGTCTATTGATGTTGGGGGATCTATTGCTGCTGGGGAAGTCTAGGGGATCTATTGTTGATGAGGGTCTGTTGTTGTTGGGGGATCTATTGCTGCTGGGAAGATCCATTGGTTGGGGATCTATTGTTGATGGGGATCTATTGCTGCCCGATCTATTGCTGCCGGGGAGGTCTATTGGTGGGGGATCATCGTTGATGGGGGTCTATTGTTGTTGGGGGATCTAAATTGCTGCTGGGGGGTCTATTGTTGCTGGCTGCATGGGATCTATTTTACTGCTTTTCTTGTTATCATTAACACATTCCATACAAATTACTTAACATCACAAAATTATACTTAGTCCTCTATTCTATCTAAGGGGCAGTACTGGGAGATGTGTAGGGGGCGGAACAAAGGGACAGTCCTCGGAGGCGGGTAGGGGGTGGAGACAAGGGGTGACTCATCTGAGAAAAAAAAGCCTCATGGGGCAATAGGGGATTATGGGGCCCCTGTGTCCTTGCCCAAACTCAAAAAAAGCCTATGAAAAAGTGCAGTGGCATCTCATGGGGCTCCCTACTGACCCCGGGCCCTCGGGCAGTGCCCGAGTCCTTTTCCAAATGGTCAGTCCACCCCTGCCCTGGACTCAACAAAAAGTGAGAAGATATAGTCCCAAAATGTTCTAATAGACAGTGACATGTTCATAAATGAAGGTTTCAAGCTAAAACCAAGGCAATCATGCAAATACACAGAAGAAGTACATCTATGGAAGTTGTTTTACCTTCTAAAGCTATTTGTACTTTAGAGATTTACACAGCTCCATTACACAGAACAGCCCCATCCAGCAGGGGACAGGACTTGATCCTGTTCTGTTGCAGTTTCACTTTCATTTACAGGAACCCCCACCACCATTCTGTTCTGGACAGCGAAAGAAGAAGCAGCACACTGATGAGTTCTGTCACTCTGCTCTCTTCTCCTATTGACATGCTAGTTGCAGTGCAACAGATATGGCTGTTTGTGCTGCTTCTCTCTCCCTATTTCTGAGCCCTGTTGCACATAGACTGCAAGAGGCTCATACCTGGACAAATTCACTGCTTACATTTATATAAATACATTTAATGATGCATTGATTATTACAGTGCTGCATCAATCTGTACCTTTTATATCTGTCCGGAGTTCAGCTTTAAAAGGTAATGAGGAGTCTGTGAGCAGTCCAGACCCGGTGCAGAGTCAGTCTGTATCATTTCAATCATTGTCTGCTATCGTGTTCATGGAGGCAGCTTGTATAAATACATAAATGATCCAGAAAGTAAACGTGGTGCAAGGTTGTTCAGTTTAGGGTGATTGTAAATGACAGGAGAGGTTTTTGTGCCTGGGGGGGAAAAGAGGTTTCTCCTCCTCGGCATATGGAAAGTCTTCTTTACAGGAAGAACTGCGAAAATATAAAATAGTCCTTCGCAGGAGCTGCTTCTAGCAGATGGCTTAATAAGGCTGGACATGTTTCGAAATACACTAAATATAATTTCTTATTAATAAAAAAAGAAGCTAACCAGGTAGTAAAAAGACATAAATTTCCCCAACTGCTTCTTTTCCATGGTGTGCTGTGAAACCGGTGGCCAGTATAGAAGTGACCTTTTATACTGATGGTCAGGGTAGGAGTGACCTCTTACATTGGTGGTCAGTGTAGAAGTCACGCCTTATGGTGGTGGTCATTGTAGAAGTGACCCCCTGCAATGATGGTCAGTGTAGAAATGACCTTTTACATTTGTGGTCAGTTTAGAAGTGACCCCTACAACGATGGTCAGTGTTGTAGAGACCTTTTAGATTGGGGGTTAGTTTAGAAGTGACCTCTTACATTGATGGTCATTGTAGAAGTGACCTCTTACATTGGTGGTCAGTTTAGAAGTGAACCCTTCAATGATAGTCAGTGTTGTAAAGACCTTTTACATGGGTGGTTAGTTTATAAGAAATCTCTTACATTTATGGTCAGTGTAGGAGTGCCCCCTACATTGGTGGTCAATGTAGAAGTGAGCTCTTATGATGGTGGTAAGTGTAGAAGTGAGGTCTTACAATGGTGGTCAGTGTAGAAGTGACTTCTTACATTGGTGGTCAGTGTAGAAGTGACCTCTTACATTGGTGGTCAGTGTAGAAGTGACCTCTTACATTGGTGGTCAGTGTATAAGAGACCTCTTACATTGATGGTCATTGTAGAAGTGACCTCTTACAATAGTGGTTGGTGTAGAAGTAACCTCCTACAATGGTGGTCGGTGAAGAAATGACCTCCTACAATATTGGTTGTTGTAAAAGTGACCTCCGCCAATAGTGACCGGTGTAGAAGTGACCTCCTACAATGGTGGTCGGTAAAGAAATGACGCGCTTAAAATGGTGGGCAGTGTAGAAGTGACCTCTTACATTGGTGGTCAGTGTAGAAGTGACCTCTTACATTGATGGTCAGTGTAGAAGTGACCTTTTACAATGGTGGTTGGTGTAGAAATGACCTCTTACAATGGTGGTCGGTAAAGACGTCCACCCCTTACAATGGAGGTCGGTGAAGAAGTGACTCTTTTAAAATTGTTGTCAGTGTAGAAGTGACCCCTTACATTGGTGGTCAATGTAGAAGTGTAGACGTGACCTTTTACAATGGTCGTTGGTGTAGAAATGACCTCTTACAATGGTGGTCGGTAAAGAAGTCACCTCTTACAATGGTGGTCGGTGAAGAAGTGACCCCTTAAAATTGTGGTCAGTGTAGAAGTGACCCTTTACATTGGTGGTCAGTGTAGAAGTGTCCTCTTACATTGGTGGTCAGTGTAGAAGTGTCCTCTTACATTGGTGTTCAGTGTAGAAGTGTCCTCTTACATTGGTGGCCAGTGTAGGCAGGAGATCAATTTGTCAAGACTCTCTTCTCAGGAAACCCTTAGGAACCTCGGGAGTAACCTCAATGTTATATAGAATCCTAATTGTCTT